CAGACTGTTGAGGGTTCAGCCTCCTGATGAGTCGGTGAAACTCCGACGAAACAGTTTGTCACAGCCCCTCGTTTGTTGTCCTCTTCTCTCTCTCTCTGCCTACGGTTTACCGGGCAGTTCTGTTTGTGACGATAACTGCCCGGTAAACCGTAGGCAGAGAGAGAGAAGAGGACAACAAACGAGGGGCTGTGACAAACTGTTTCGTCGGAGTTTCACCGACTCATCAGGAGGCTATATATATACAAATATATAAATATATATATATCGTCAAAAGTATATGGTTGGCAAAGAGAAAGGGAGAAGAGGACAACAAACGAGGGCCTGTGACAAACTGTTCCGTCGGAGTTTCACCGACTCTTCAGGCAGCTGGACCGCCCGGGCAAGTGGTCCTGGGCCACTCTGGTTGCCAAGTAAGAAAATATAATAAAATATTATATATACATATTATTATAATTTCTAACATACATTATATATTGTAATATAATAAAATATAATATAATATAATATAATATAATATAATATAATATAATATAATTGCGTGGCACGTGGCCTCGATACGCCCTACTGGGCCCTATTTTCAGCACAGTCGGCCGCCCTAAGTGAAGGCAGGCTCGACCGACGCCTACAGGCCATATTGGGGTCACCACGCAACTGGGGAAATTCAGGCAGTTGCGCAGCGCCAGTTGGTTGAGAGCGCCCAGGCCCAGGCTGCCTCTTTCGAATGTAACTGAAGCAGGCCCTTGGGCCAGATTCGCAACATGGACCGAACAAAGGCTGTGGGCAGTTGGGCGCGAGTAACCACCTCAGGCCCTGGGCCTGTTTCGTCTGGACTGGGGCTCAGCCTCTCTGGGCCAACCGGAAGCTTCTGGGCAGGGGCCCAGTGCAGCCAGGCTGCACGCAAGCAGGCAGGCCACTTCCATTTAGGAAAGGGCCTGCCCACGCATTCGTCATTCGGGCAATGGGTGCATGCTGCGCAAGCGCTGCTGCGCTAACGCTGGCCAGCGCTCACGCAGTCACGGGCGAGCAGGATGAGCAGCATGAGCAGGATGAGCAGGATGAGCAGGATGAGCAGGATGAGCAGGCAGCCATAGCCGAGCTGCGGTGCTGTAAGCTGGATGGGGTGCATGGTGGTCCTTGGGTGCATGTGGCATCTGTGAGTTGGGGATCGAGGTTGTGAGTGATACGAGAGACATACCTGGTGCTTGAGGCGAACGGCATTGGCCGAGATCTGCTCGTACTTCGGGGAGCTGTTGACGTCATCAGCGCCATTGTAGATAGGCTAGATAGGATCTGCCATTTGAAGTCTGGGCGCCGAGCGCCAGATAGAATATCGACATTGGTTCTTCGTTGATGATGATGAGACTATTCCAGCATTGTCAATTATGAGCTTTTGCTGTAATCTTATTTGGTGGAACTCATGATGCAATTCTGCCATTGGTTCGAGGTCACGACTATCTGGTCTCATGTGTATGATGCTGTTTGATTTCTGAAGTTCGCTATCGCTCATTCTCCTTGCATAATATAATATTCAAATTAATTTCATACAAACAAGACCTACCGGAGGAACATAATCCATCCCCAGCATCAAGTTGAGCTTGTAGGCCACCAATTCGATTGGGGGCCGATGCCAGCCTTCAGCGTCACCATCGCCAACTCTTGGTTTGAAGATTGCATTGGCCTTACAAAAATAAAACAACCACAGCACACACACACACACACACACACACACAAAAAAAAAAAAAAAAAAAAAAAAAAAAAAAAAAAAAAAAAAAAAAAAAAAAAACGTGACAACAGTAATTTCAGTAAGCATTCTTTCATAAGCTGCACAGATTCTGAAGGGAGCTCAACACATCCTCAAATGCAGACTGTTAAGCAGTTGCCTCCAAGGAGCAGGCACCACTGGTGCTGTATTCATGCTAGGCAAGCATGAACCAGGCCTTCAGATAGGCCAGGTTACAACCTTGGGAGGCATGAGCCTGGCCCTCATAGATGGAAGGTTCATGCTTTCCTAACATTGACATAGGTCACGAGTGAAGCCTGGCCCCCGGGCTCAAACCTCATACAACACAATGGCATAGTTCACATCAAGGCTATCAGGAAGTTCCATCTACTGTGTAAGGGACGATGGACCCAGTTTCCTTTTTTTTTTTTTTTTTTTTTTTTTTTTAAGTTGTTCAGTTTATCATTATGCCATCATTGCATTGTTCATAACGTAATTTTTTATTTTTCTACTTAGAGGGACCTTGGCTGGCCCCTGCCCGCCCGTCCCGGTTGGCTGCCCCAGGCTGAAAAGTTCAAAACACTTGCTCAAACGTAATCTCCACAGGCAGACACATATAACAGATCCCTCTCTCTCTCTCTCTCTCTCTCTCTCTTTATCTCATGGTGCCAAGGATAGCCGTTATCTCACGCACCTTTCGAAAACCAGCTGCATGGTCGATGAGCACGGGACGCATAGCACCGGTGACCCAATGTTGTCCATACAAGAAGTGCCCATGATGGCGATCCGAGTTATGTAAGAGGACGTCCAGTATTCGTGTGTCACTGAGAAGGCGAGCGACGGAGACTCCCCACTTTGAAGCTGGAATGGTTCGCAAAGGAACAACCTTCGGCACAAAGTAAATAAAGGCTCCTTCGTTGAAATGATGATTGCAAATATTCATCGCAACCGTGCGGTATGCTACCTAAGAAGGAGGAGTCCGATAACCGATTTCATCACAAGGCGTAGATCGGTGTGTCGCAGACGAAGCAGCAAACATGGAAAAGTGTTAGGAGAATACGACAGACAGGACACAGCATCCTCTCTCTCTCTCTCTCTCTCTCTCTCTCTCTCTCTCTCTCTCTCTCTCTCTCTCTCTCTTTCTCTCTCTCTTTGGGCGGTAACTAGGGCGCAGTCACGATTTCAGTTTAAAATCCAGTTCACGCATTCCTCGAATACAACACATCCCCACCCGATCCTAAAGCTAGGTTGTATACATTCACGACTTTCCTCGGTTTGACACAACGTTCGCAAAATCGTGACTGAAGCACTTTTTCAAACTAAAACCGTGACAGTGCCTTGGTTTTCCCTCCTTTTTTTTTGTTTTTTATAAAAGCCGAGGTTGAGGTTTAATGCCAGAGGTATGACATTCCTCTTCAGATATATATTTTTTTCTATTTGACGATATATATATATATTATATCGTCACAATATATACATCGTCAAATAGAACTGCCCGGTAAACCGTAGGCAGAGAGGGAGAAGAGGACAACAAACGAGGGGCTGTGCAGAGAGAGAGAAGAGGACAACAAACGAGGGGCTGTGACAAACTGTTTCGTCGGAGTTTCACCGACTCATCAGGAGGCTGAACCCTCAACAGTCTGCAGAATCCCCTCACTGATTACACTGTAAATGNCCTCACCCCCCCTCTTTTTCCCGTCTGACATTATCACCGACCCCTGTAGTTACAACACCCAGCCTGATGTCACTTTCATCGAACTCCATCCCAGTTGTGCCTGTTTTCTTTGCCCATGCATGTTAAACTTTTTTATCGCTCATTTGATACTCAAAAGTGACATCACCGTCCTTGCCACCTTTTTCTTTTTTTTGTCTTTTTAACTGTTACACTAAGTTAGCCTCGTAAATCTATTAATATGCAAAAATGCAGGTGTATACCACCGGGCCTAGCACGGTTGGTACACCCAGCTCCTGAACCACTGACATACAAGACTCAAGTTCGAACCGCTCGTTCCCAATTATCGTGTATTCTTGGTGTTTTAATGGTGCTACCGTCTTTTCACCGGACTAGAAAGGTCATTATAGCTGCATCTGGACTGAAAGTTGGGCCAAATGCAGATATAATGACCGGGTGTTCTATTCGGGTGAAGACGGTAGGGGGAGCTCATAGTCACTGGTTGGCCAGGTTAGGAATGCGCTTCATGCTGAGAAACCACAAATTGAATGCCTGGGCCTGTTCACGTCCATATGGCTGGACAAGAACCGGGCATTAGTCACAATGGATGGGGTTAAAAAAAAAAAAAAAAAAAAAAAAAAAAGAGAAAAAAAAAAAAAAAAAAACCCCCCCAAAAACAAAAAAAAAAAAAAAAAAAAAAAAAAAAAAAAAAAAAAAAAGATAGTACGCTCCCTCAGATGAAGAGAAAAAAATTAATTCAGCTGTAGCTCCCCAGAGTCCCCACCAATGAGACTGCAGTGGCCAGAGGCTCGCCTGCAAGCAGGGGGGGTCTCAGATCACCTTGGCTACCGTCTTCACCCGAATATAACGCCCGGTCATTATAGCTGTATTCGGGACATTTTTCTGTCCAGATGCAGCGATAATCACCGGGCGTTCTATTCCGGTGAAGACGGTAGCGGGCTGACGACCGTTTTTTTTTTTTCCTGACTAGTGCACTCTATTAATAATCACTTGAATTCTTTCATCTCGCACGACCTACCTACCAGTGCTCCAAAGGGTATACAGGGGACCCCTGGCAGCATAGCTATCTAGTGCTCTTGGTGAAGGGAGGTTACCTCTTTGGGTGGAGGGAGGTATTTCATGTTTGCCCCTTGCCCTACTGGTAGTGATTTAGGGCGCAGGGTTGGGGCCCCCAGCGGGACCTAGCCCCGGCTAACAGCCTAACACAAGGACCGAGTCTTTGCCAGTAGCTGCTCCAGGCCTCCCCCTTTTCATCTTCCCCCTCGGAGTCCCCCCATCCAGCAGTAACAGCAGAAATTCACAAAAATGTATAATTAGTAATTACATTATTTGCTTCTCCCACCCACTCACACTTGCACTCACATTGGTGTTGGCTGAAGACCCTACTAATATATCGTCACAAACAGAACTGCCCGGTAAGCCGTAGGCAGAGAGAGAGAAGAGGACAACAAACGAGGGTCTGTGACAAACTGTTTCGTCGGAGTTTCACCGACTCATCAGGAGGCTGAACCCTCAACAGTCTGCAGAATCCCCTCACTGATTACACTGTAAA